GACGTCGTTTTTCCCCTCTCTAAAACGACGTCGTTTTTATTATTATTATTATTATTTTTTTTCTTTCTATTCTTTCTACTTTCTAGTCCTTACAACACTTCCCCCCTAAAAAAAAAATTTGGTCCCTCAAATTTTGTTACCTTACCTCCAAACAATTCTGGATAATTCCGTCTCATTTCGTCTTCCCGTTCCCAGGTTGCCTCTTCCTTGGCATGATGTCTCCACTGTATCTTCACCATAGGTATCACCCTGCTCCTCAACTTCCTTTCTTGTCGTTCGAGAACTTGGATTGGCTCCTCCTCATAAGACAAGTCCTTCTCCAATGGCAACGATTCATACCTTAGAATGTGGTTGGGATCCGGACGGTATTTTCGTAGTAGTGATACGTGAAATACGTTGTGAACCCCACTGTACCGAGGAGGAAGCGCTACCCTATACGCAACCACCCCCACTTTTTCCAAAATCTCAAACGGCCCTATGAACCGGGGACTTAATTTCCCTTTCTTTCCAAACCTCAATAGCCCTTTCATGGGAGAAACTTTCAGGAACACATGATCCCCTACTTCAACACCCAATTATATATATATCTCATATATATGTTGCCTTTTTTATTACTATTATTTAATAAAATAATTTTATAAATCAATTCAGTTTCAAATTAGATTTTATAATAATTTCCACACACATATTATATTATTACACTAATAATATAATAACTAAAATAATATAAATATTAATTTTCTATTTCTAAAATAGAAAATTCAATTTGTCTCCACATTAATTATATCCTCTGTGTTAACAAAAAATATAATAATATTCTATGTAGATAAAAAATTTTATTTATTTAATTAAATTAAATTTTTTAATTTAATTATTAAATAATTAAAATAATTAATTTATTAAGCAAAAGTCAGAATAATCGTTAGTGTCCGATCCCATAGGTTCAATACTAAACCGGTAGTAAATTAGTTTAATTAATTTATTAATTAAGGTTGTCGTCTAGTAATACTCCTTAACAACTGGATAACATGAAGTATATAATTACTTTTAAGAACCTGTTAGAGAATGATGTAATATTTTCTTTCGTCATTATTGCTCCGCATTAACCCTATGATATGGTTTAATTATCAAATTCTAATAGGTAACCAATTATATTTCATGTCAATTATACTGAGTAATGAATGACATAAAAAACTCTTTTATTCTTTCATTCAATTACCCTGATAAAAGTCTTAATTTAATCGTTATAATAAATGACAACATAGAGCTTAAACTTATTACCAAGTTGACAGATTCCATCTTGATCAATCACTAATTTTACAGTATTTAATCACACCTAATATCTTTTTAACTATAGTTATATGACTATACATGTATAAAATCAAAGTATGATAAATAGCTTGTTAATTACTACGATGATCTCGGATCAAAGAAAATTCTTACATCTCATCATTTTAGAGAAATTTTATTGACAATTTAAACGTATATTAATGATTAAGAATTTTCAATTGGGTTCGTTCAATGATCATATCTTCATATGTATCATCTATATATGATTTAGCTAATGAGATCAACTAATCTTTTATCTTATAGAGACCATCCACATATATATTAGTCTTATTGGATCATTAATGTCCTATTTTAATGATCCAATGATTAAGAATATTTTAAGATTAAATCATAAAAAAATTTACTCTCATTATCAAGATCCCCATTTTGATGTAAAGTCTCTAAATTTAATTAATAATTTTATCATATAAATTAAATAACAAGATAATAAATATGATAATAAAAAATATTATTGCCATATATTAAAATAAATTGTCAAATAATAAATATTACATGAATAATTGGATTTTGGGCATAACAGTTATATCCTTACCAATTTCCCACTTGCACTAGATTCTATTTGTCATGTAAGTCATTCTCAATTTCCACTTATGCTAAAAAATTTGTCATGTAATGAGTAAGCATGACCTTTTTTTTTTTTTTTTTTTTTTTTTTTTTTTTTTTTCTGTAGTAGAACAAATATAGAAAACATAAAATAAACGACAAGTAATAATAACCATGTCTGGTTACTTTTATCAGATAAAGCCTTGCTTTCTTCTTATTATTACTTTACAAACCTAAACAACCAAAACTAGACATAGAAAGCCAAGGCATGATTTAATAGGTTTTCTCAAAGAATCAATATGGTCTTCATTAATATGGATATTCATGTGTATGATCTATCAAGATTTTGAACTCTCTTTCGCTATCATGTTCTTAATTGAGTTGAGTCTTCAAGATATGTT